ATTTGAAAATGAAGGTCAGGAAATAAGTTAGGGTTAGATAAATAAATCTAAGAATCATTGCATAGAGATAATAATTGAGTCCATGACAGCTAATGAGGTCACCAAATAAAATAAAAAAGAGGAAACAACCTAGAGGGTGCAGGACAGAACCTTGAGGAACTGGATAGTGTGTGTAACCTATATGTAGAACCAGGAAAGAAGATAGACAGAGAAAGAACAGTATGACAAGTAGGCTGAGAACTAGGAAACAATAGCGTTTCAAAAACCTTGAGAGAAGAGAATATCAAGGAGTGGAGGGTAATCAACAGCATCAAAGACTGCAGAGAGGTCAAGAAAGATGAGGATTGAGAAAAGGCCATTAGATTGTGCAATTAAGAGATCACTGCTACCTTTAGAGAGAGCATTTCAGTTCACTCAGCCTCCAAGTCACGCACATCTTAACAAAATGGGTCACAGACTCATACAAGTTCATAAAACCATAGGAATCACCATAATGTCTCTGACTCAATGTTCCATCCAACCTACCATTCTTTTGCAAATAATAAAACATACCATGAAAGAATAAGGGTATCACACTCAGATGCCAACCCATATATTTCATCAGAAAACTTTCATGAGTTCCTTGTGGAAAATAAGCTAAAAATATACAATGAGTCTAAAATCCTTTACCATTTTTTCAATTTTGTCTGTGAAAATGAGTTGAACTCTCTTCAAATAGGTAATCAAGCAGGTAAGAATTGCTTAAGACACATGATGGTCTATAGGGGTCAATTATATGCAAGCTTTTCCTAGTATCCAATATCCTTATGTCACTCACAAATTGCTCTAAATCCTTTTTGCAGCCATTTATATTTCTTACCACTACCATCTCTTGGGATTACATACTTCATGAAGTTGTACTTTTTTTGGTTTCTCCTATATTTTGCTCACTCAAATTTCAATCATCTTACTATTAGGCAATTTAGAGAACATAACTACTATTTAAAATTCTCATTCTTTTTTTAATCATCTTTCTAGGCCAAAATGTCTTAATTTTTAAAATAGATCTGCAAACAGAAGTCATTGGGATCATTTCAGTTACCTTTCTCCAGATCTTTTCTAGTCCCATTATAACTTTCTCAATGTTCTGTGACCAGAACTGCATGTAGAATTCCAGGTATAAATTGCACTAAAGATAGGATAACGTTTCAGTGCACTCTTCTGGATAGATGTCCATTATTCTCTTGGTTCTTCAAGACATGCAGCATAATGGGCTGATCCACATGGAACAATATGTATTGATTCTAGATTGTAAGCAATAGCTTAGATCTCTTCTTTCTATCTATCTATGTATGTATCTAACTATCTATATTGACATACACATATAATATATGTATATATAAACTTGGGTTGTAACATGGTTTGCATATTGGTCACATCCCTTAACACAAGTATTATAAATAAAAATACATTATTAAATTGTTGAATAAGGGAATCTGATAATATTTCATCAGTCATTTTGATTCATCTCAGGAATTTTCAGGTATTCATCACTTCTGCTAATCTATAACAGATGAGAAAGTATTTTATTTTCTAAGCAATGAGGAGCCATAGAGAGTTTTTGAATGGTGAAGTAAAATGCATGAAGGAATACTTTAAGAAGATTAATCTAACATCAGTATGCAGCTAGGATTGGTAGAGGAGAAACTGGAAGGGAGTTTTGTTTGAAGGTTAGTTCATGGTCTAATTGTGAGGTGACAAGGAACATCACACAATCCAAACAGTTCTTAACTGCATTTTATGTATGTATTTATGTATGTATGTGAATCACCTGTTTTTAAAGACAAAACTGTAAATAGTCATAAACTCTTAAAATATTTTTGATTTACTTAGCTTCTTTCTAACAAAGAATTTTATTCAAAATTCAAAGATTTGGAATCAGAAGAAAATTCTGATTACCATCTATTTCAACTCTCTAATTTTACACATGAGGAAATTGAGGAACAGAAAGGGTAATGGATTTGTCCAAGGTCACATGTTAGTATGTAGCAGAGGCAGAATTTGAATCCAACCTCCAAAACCAATACCCTTTTCTGCATCAAAAAGGTTCCTAATAAAATCTGAATAAAAAAACATAAGCCTATGAATTTTTTTTCCAGTAGTTGTGATAGGTTTGGACTAAACCAACCAGATTTTAAGTCCCCTTCCAAAACACACACACACACACACACACACACACACTCCTTGCAACTAAGGGCATGCATTTGCAAGGCAGCTAGCCAGAGGTTTACAAAAATCAATAAATGCAGCAGTGTGTATTTTGAAGGAATTCAAGGATGAAACAAGGATTAAAACTGCAGTCTCTTTTTATTAAAAGTCACCATTGTGTTCAACTGGTGGATTGCAAATGTTTCCTGTATTCATAAGAAAATCTTCAAAAGAAAACTAGGGTAGTATACAAATTTGTAAGTATTACTTCCTTACTGGGAAAGATGGTTTTGATAATAACAAAGGACATAATCACTAAATTAATAATAAAAAAAACAACTCACTGACAAAAAGACAACATAGTTTCCGCAAAAGCAAACCATATCTAACCAATTTGTTAGAGTTCTCTCATAAACCAAATAAGTACACAGATAAAAGGGAAATAGTGGGTGCCATCTAGTTAGACTTTCAAAAGCTTTTAACAAGGTTCATCATGGTTGAGAGTGAGAGGAATGGATAGTGTCTTTTGTTATGAATAAATAACTGGCTTAAAGATAAGAGGAAAAAAGCAAAAATACATAACACTAATAATAGCACATTTTGTAGCATTTTAAGATTTATAAAGCAATTTTGCCACAATAATCCTATAAAGATCATAGAGCTGCTGTTATCCTCTTTTTTACAGATGAGTTAATTAAAGCTCAAAGGGGTGAGCTTGTCCATAGAACTTATTTTACTGGAAGTGTAAAGAAAGATTTTTAAAAAATTTTTCTAAGTCCTCTGGTGCAGACAACTCAATGAAGTCACCATGTTTGCAGATGACATATGTACATATTTCTTTCATGGAAATCAAAAAAATTCACAGTGACTACAGGAAGAACTTATGAACCTAAAAGAATGGGCAAAAAAAAAGTGGCAGGTGAGTTTTGAGGTAGTAAAATACATGGCAATACCTTTAAGAATAAATACTCCAAATATAAAAATATGTGTGTGCATATGTGTAAACCTACACATGTATGTGTGTATATGTATACATACGCACAAGGTATACATACACAGGTATGTGTGTACACACACACACACACATATATAAATATATATATATATAACCACTGTTTTACATAGAGATAGGATAACATTTGCCATTTTGTTTTCAATACACTCTTTGGGGGACAGATGTCTACTATTCTCTTGGTCCTTTTAAGTACAGAAGTGTAATGAGCTGATCCACCTTGAATACTCTGCATATATCTGTGGGTATATGTGTGTCTGTTCTGTTGTGTTACAGTCAACAAATTTGATTCCCTCATATACCCATATCCATAAGCTACACTGTCACAATTTTCAATTGCAAACCCATATTTTTCCTTGTCATTTAGGAATGATACAAATTATACTGGTAACAGCTCACCATTTCATTATTCAAAATTACTTACTAAACATTTCAATTACATGTTCCACATATACGCATAAAGTTTGTCACTGACCACCAAATTTGATTTTACTTAAATATTTAGTTGTGTACCGAACTGACCAATGTCTTCCTTTAATAACAAGTGACTTTTTCTTTACATTTTATTACTGTACATACACACCATCCTAGAGTGTTTTCTCCCTAAAATATTTCTATTTGTATATATTGGTACACTTTTTATTTAGAAAAAGATTATAAAAGTTTTCCTTCGGCATACAGCTTCAGGGACCAATTAATTCCATTAAATTACATCTAGTTACATACCAAACTGAGCCACTGCGGGATCAGGGCTGTCTAGAGCTTTGACAGTTGGGAGGAGGTTGGCAGGGAGGAGGAGAGACAGAGAGATTGATTTTATGTGGCACTAGAAAACATTGCAAAATCATGTCAGAGAGTGTCTTTCAAAATCGTCTTAAAATATTCTAGATTAAGGGAGTTTCCCTTCTCATGAGTGGGAGTTGACAGACAGTCTGCCAGCATTAGAAAGATGCAGAGAAAAATTCGTGTCTATATTGTGTCCTCTAATAACACTTCTCTCTGTATGTCATCTTTCTTATGGAAGATCAAGAAGGTGCTGTGTGTGAGTGGGTGTGAGTGTGTGTGAGTGAGAGTGTGAGAGAGAGAGAGAGAGAGAGAGAGAGAGAGAGAGAGAGTGTAAGCTTTGCCCCCTCGTGAAGTAGAAATCATTGCATCTCACTTACAGCTGGGAAAACTGAAGGACACTAACCCTCCCAAGGTCATCCTGTGATCCTCGGATCTAGCAAATCAGTGGCAAGGCCTAGAATAAAAGGCCTAGAATAAAAGGAACCCAGGGACATTGACTTCCAGGTCCTAGTCCTAAGCACTAAACATTTCCGCTCCTTGTTAAGATTTTCTTTTCTTTTTTTTTAATCACTGGAGGGAAAAAAAAGTATAAGAAAAATCTGTTTCCATTAAAGGACCAAATAAAACTAATGAAAACGTTCAAGGTATCCACTCTACATTTCGTAATCTATGTCCAAAAAATGAGAGGAGGGAATCTCCTTTTTGACACAAAGAAACCCTTTTTTTGCCCGGAGCTTCTAGGTTCAGAGAACCTTCTTCCGCCCCCCGCCCCTTTGTAGGTAAGGACTGATTAAAAATAAAAAACAAAACAAAAACTAAAGCCCACACCTAAAGCCCATTCTGGGCTTGGACAGTGACTAAGTCCCGCCCCTTCCCCTTCCCCCCCACGTCTGCACTCACCAGCCCTGCCCCCCCCCCCCCCCCCCTCCCCCCCCCCCCCCGATGCTGCCTGGCACCGAGCGCAGCTGCCGCTGCCGCCGCCGCCGCCGCCGCAGCCCCAGCAGCAGCCGCCGCCGCAGCAGCCGTAGCAGCAGCCGCAGCACTTTACACTTTAATCGATCGCTTTTCCAGTCCTGCTCCAGTGCAGTCCGCCTGGAGTGGAAAGTGGCCAGTGCTCCTTGCTCTGGCCTCCAAGCAAACCGAGGAGACTAGGGAGGAAACTCCTTGGGAGAGTCCGGTCCCAGGTGCCCTCTGGGTTCTGCAGTCTCTTCTCTCTTTTGCTTGGGTGGGGAAGGAGGACGAAGAGGAGGTTTGGTCTGGGATTAGAAGGAGGTGGAGCAGAGGCAGAGGTGGCGGCAGCAGCAGCAGCAGCAGCAGCAGCAGCAGCCGCGCCAGGAACAGAGAAAGACAGGAGAGACCTAGACTTGGAAACCCCAACGTGTCCCCGTCCCTGCACCGCAGGATATATTTCCAGCTTCATGGGCAAAGTGTGGAAACAACAGATGTACCCTCAGTACACCACCTACTACTACCCCCAGTATCTCCAGGCGAAGGTAAATGGGAAAGGGGTGGGGAGTTGGGGTGGGTGCCAAGGGCAGGGTGGGGATGGGGTCTTGGCTCATATGGGTCCGGGTAGCTTCCTGGGGATCTGGTGTCTTAGGGTGGGGTGGCGGGAGCTGGGGGGGGGGGGGGGGAGCAGAGGAGGCGCGGAGCGCACTGCGCGCTCTGCTGTTTGCTGCTATAGTTGACTGGATCTTGCTAACTATAGCCCAGGCTGGGATTGAGCGCGTAGGGCTTCTCAGTGAAGAGAGTGCAAAGATCGGGTTTCTGAAAGCAATCGGGAGAGGGAGAGACCAGAGAGGAAAAAGCCAGCAGCCCCTTCCTTCCTCTGAGGTGGGGAGGGGTTACGCGAAAGGCTGGGAGCTCCCTCCGTCGTGAGCTAGGTGGGCCTTTGCTACCCAGGACCTTACCCTCGTTTCGGTTTCTCCCACCACCCCCACTCTTCTGGGCTTTCACCTATGGAGAACTAGCTTTTCTCCTCCTCCTGAGTCATGCGCCACCCCCACCCCTGAACTGCCCCCTTCCTCAATCACTTCTGGCAGGTCGGTTTAGAATTGTGCCTTTCTCTCTTCTGCCTCCTCTCTTACTTCTCACTCTCCCCCTCACCTCTGATCTTAGTGTGGTTATGGCACATCACCTGGTTACTGATTTCTACTTTTATGTTTGAGTTTTGGGTAGAGAAGTGGCCGAAGTTTATTCAATACTCATTGACGCCCCCCCTCACATGTGCCCAGTAACTTTTGCAAAGGAGGGGACGATAGACACATTTTTATCCAGGGAAATAATTTTACCATTTAGAATTTTGTGACGTTAAACACCTTTTTACCAGCATTCTTTGTTGAAGGTTAAACAATTTTCGATGTTTATTTGAAGTGGTCTTTGACAAGAGATAACTGCTGACGTTCTTCAGCTATAAAAATTTCATTTTCTAGGGACCATGGGAAATTTTGTTCTTTGGCATATCTTGGCTTAATTTCTGTGAGAAGTTGAATTCTCTCTACTCATTTAAAATAATTGTATTTGGTCCAAAAATACTGTTGGCCTCAGACCTTTAGCAGTATCATTGTGCAAGAGGGCAAATGCAAAGGGGGTGCACGAGGGGTCTTGAGCATCTCTTTTCACAATTCATAATAGAACAAATATGAATCAGGTATGTGTACAGCGTGTGAACTTTAATTTGGAGGTTATACTTAGGCTCTGGCCAGTGAAAGAACATACTTTTGGCCCATAAAGAAGAGGACCTCCCTGGCCAGTTTGATAAGCTTCCTTTCCTTGTAGGTGTGGTCCATGGTAATAAGGAACCATAGCACATAGCATATCTGATCATGTCAAACTATAACTGTGTAAACTGAAGAAATAGAGAATTACTTGCTCTCCTACCCTGCCACCACCACAAAAAAAAAGTCCATTTTAGCCCGGTAGCCAGAAAGCATCAAGATGGCAGCAGTTTTAGTATCTATCGTTAATTTTCCCTCAAATTTACCTTAATATGTTTTCAGGGATTTGAGATGCTTATATGAGTGACAGAGGCATTGTAGATATGAGTTGTTTAAAGAAATATTGTGAAGTAATCAATGCACTGCCTTTTAGATAACATATATGTTTAATGCACCTGTTTAAATTATGCAGCATAAGGTGCCTGAAGGATAGTCTTTTGTACTATTCCACACTTAATTGTATGAATAATAAATAAATACACTCAGGTGAAGAAAGGGGAGAAACACTTTTCTACAGGAACATTTACCTTAGTGATTTTTATGTACCATTAGTAAGTTGGAAACCAAGTACATAACATTTAATATAGCTAATGCAATGCCACTTGGCTTTTTTGCTCTGTAAATAATTGAAGAGGGAGGCAAACTGTAAGAGCCTGCTCTGGTAATTAGGGTTGGATCCACAGAAAGCTTTAAGGGCCATTTTCTGAAAGTGTGCTTCCTGCATAAAGCATTTAATATTGATTTGTGTTACAGTAAATGACATTTTCAAAAACATATCTTGCTGTTTCTGCTAAGAAGACTGAAATCCCATTACTCTGTATCTCTTTGTTTTAGCAGTGGCACACATGCCCACTTGACCCATTTATAATATGATATTAAAATATAGGAGTTTAAATCCAAATTTTCTATTATAATAACAACCTAATTGTACTTAAGGGGGGGAGCCCTCTCAAAAAAACATGTACAAGGACTAGTGACAATTTAGGGAATCAAAGTCTGGATGACATAAGCAAATTTGACTCCAAACATTTGGCCAGAAGGTGTGAAAAAAATAGTACTGTAAAAACAAAATCTTATTTTGGCCTATAGTGAGCTTAAAAGCAAAATGATACTTGATCTAAAAGTTAACCTATTTAAGGGGTCTGTGGTCTATGCACAATAACAATCACATCTGTGTTTTTTCGCCTTCCTGAAATGTAAGGCTGAAAACATCTCTCTGTTTAAAGTACAATGACATGTTTGCAAATCAGAGTTGTTTTGAAACTTCTGTTTGAAACTACATCAAAAACAGCAATAGGATGGTTGTTAATAAGTTATATTTAACTTAAACTTGTGCTTAAGAAATGGATGTGATTTTCTTGAAACTGAAAGGGGTTAAAAAGAATATGAATCCTAAGTGTCAATTTAGCACCAGATAATCAGTTTCATTAATACATATGTACATATACAATGTGTGTATGTGTGTGTATACAATGTGTGTGTAATATTTTTAGCTGAAGCCAGAGATGTTCATTTCTTTACTGTTCCTTAAAACAGGAGTAACACCACACATACACGTTTCATCCTTGGTTTCAATTCTTTGCGCTGGAAAAGAAATTAGGAAAATCAGAAAGGTGTTCAAACAACTATACTATGTGGTAACAGAACTCAATATAAACACATTCTTTTATCCTCATTAACAGTATTATGTTTTACAGCTGTAATGCACTTCAAACTGAAATTTAGCATGTTGAAAAAATTTAATGCTAATCAACACTGATATGCACTGCAAGAATATACATCATTTTCAAATAAAGTATCAAGTATGCAAAGTGAGTTCTCTCTGAACCCAAGTTCAGAAATAGAACAATAGTAAATGACTGTTAGTTGTGATAAATATAGAATCACATTAATAAAGCGTAATAGGGTAAAACAATTTTTCTAAAGTCAATTTGCATATCTGAGATAAAAGCTTTGCAGTAATATTTTATAGTATTCCTTGGCTCTAACTTATCATTAGTCAAATGAATATTATGTGAAATTACGCATTACTCTAGGAATTAGGAGTAATAGGTTTAATGCATAGACTTTTAAATTAATAGTATAGACAAATGGTGGAATAAAATATTTTTAGGAAAAATGCAACTTTATATCTTATGAAATAGGTTGCACTAAAATGTATATGATAGAATTGAATAAAATCAATCAAGGTAAAGTAATGAGAATTTTATATTGATGATTTTTTTTTTCATAAAAGCAATGAGATATTATGGCAACCTCGAAGAATTGAAGGGGACTGAAGACAATAGGTAGTTTTTCATAAAGTTCCATTTTAATACTAAATTGTATTATATTAGTAATACCTATACTTAGAACTCTTTGAATATCTTTCAGCTAACCTAATTTCTAAGCAAAAGCAAAGAGAGAGGTAAGAGGAATGAAAGAAAATGGGGAATCACACTCAAGTCACCATGTTGCTTTAGTAGTTTTTTTTTAAACTGATGTAGCTATGTCTTTGCCATGATTGGCAAGTTCAGATACTATTGCCTTAAATTTAAATACAATGACTCAACATATCAGACAATAATGTGCAATTACATGCAACAGTGGTTTGTTGTTTTTGTTTTTTCAAATCAAAGCATTTAGTCACTGATGTATTGATCTGACTCCAGATAATGTGTAAGGATCTATCATAACTTGTAAGTTACAATTTATTTAATAGGCTACTTTAGAACTTTGTTATGTGAGATGTATTTTTTTTTTTTGCTGAAGTCAGGGGTATTAATTTTCTTAACTGTTTCTTAAAACAAGAGTAAATCTATGTTTTCTGTATTCAAAATCATTAAATTAATCTGAGTCAGGTATGGAAGAATCAAAATGAAAATTTGTGTTATAATAAAAGTTGAATTAGTGAATTTTTTCAATTAGTTTTTTTAATAAACCTGAAGTTTCCTATATCATTCTTATATCATAATACTGTCTTATATGAGGTTCTTAGCAAATTTCTCCTCACTATCTCTGACCATAGTCCTAACATTCTTCCATAGATACAGGTACCTAGGTCAGTGCTCTTTTCTGAGAAGGGTAGGACAAAACAAATATTTATGAGCGATCTGCTATGAACTAACCAAATCATCAATAGAAATATTTTTTCAGTCCATAAGTCCAAAAATTCATTCTGATGACCTAAAGGACATCTGATCTCAAAGTTCTGAAGGTAAAAGGAAAATGAAATCTATGTACTACTTGGTTTGATATTATAAGGAAAACATATTAGGGACCCTCAGGATGTTTGTTATGAGAGGATTGGTAAATGCTTCACTTATGGCATGAAAAAGGACCCTTTGTACAATGTTTTTGAGGATGATGAGTAACAGAAAAATTTGTAGTATTAATGTATTGGATAGGGAAAGACTACCAAGTATGATGAACTGGTGACAAATTCTTTTTTGTCAAAACCTCCAAAGTAAAACCTTTCATTTTCTTAATTTTTGCATAAACCCTATGGACCACTTTCCATGGTATCGATATTTATTGGAAGAATTTTTTAAGGGAGGCAATATGAAGGAGTTGGGATTGAGGAGGTTTGTGTTCTAATTCAGTCGGTGTCTATGACTGGTGCATATCCTCGGATGAGTCCCTTGAATTATCTGTTTTGTGAAGTGGTGGAAAAACCTATACCTATTCTGCAGTGATGCTGAATGAACAAAAGAGAATTTGAGCTCTTTAGATAAAAGATACAATATAGAAGTTTTTTTTCTAAAGAAGTATATTCTAGCACTAGTTTGTACTGAATT